GGGAACGAGGACAACGAAGAGAGTTTTGACTCAACGACGTCCTCATCTAATTTGACAATAACAGCATCATCAATCTATTGGAGGACATCAATAAGAAAATGTAATAAAAATTTGGGGTGATTTCAGAGCCATTTTTGGAAAAAGCTATGGGCTATAGTACAGAGAATTTTTCAGAAATTTACCCATTTTAAAAAATGGTCATAAATTTAAAATTTAAGTCAAAATTGGCTCAAACTTTCTATATAGCATAAGGACATCAATGTGTATCAGAAAATGCAATAAAATTGGGGTAATTTTGGAGCCATTTTTCTGAAAAACAATGGGCCATATACATGTCCACGCTTTTTTCCCCCAAAAGTTAGTTTTGAATGATAAAAATTCACTACTACTCCTTACATTAGTGAACTCAGGTGACTCGTGCCAGTTGGAGTGGCAACCCAGTATGTTAATGCTAGGAGCTCCGAGTATATCAATGAAGTTATCAGGAACTGTCGGTACTATACTGTGACGCCACTCAAAGGGAGATATGTAACTCAACAAACACTAGAAGGAAAAGAGAATTAAAATGAAAATGAAGTAATAATTCAAGTGATTTTTACAAAATTTACATGAATCAATATGTACATGTACAGTATTAAACTTTAACCATCATTTTGATAATATACTTGTATACATGCATGTACATGTACACATACATAAATAGACATATAATAAAATAATATATACATGCACAAATAATGCATGTACAATAGTACATTCTCTTACTTGTATAACTAATGCTGGCATTGAGTAATTGGAGGAAGTGAACACAATGGTTTGTTCACTTAGTAAAGCAGCAATGACCTTGAGAACATTATCAACTGAGAGGCATAAAAATGGGTAGTTTAATCTGACATCAAGATGAAGATCTGGAGGGAGAGAGTGAGGGAGAGAGGGAGGGAGGGAGAGAGTGAGGGAGAGAGGGAGGGAGGGAGGGAGAGAGAGAGGGAGGGAGGGAGGGAGAGAGAGAAATAGGGGAGTGAAAATTGAAACTGAATGTACAAGTACATATACTAACCTCCTCTTGGTGGCATAATGATTGTTGGTGATGAAAAACCAGGTAGAGTTACTTCCTAGTAGAACAATGAATACATAACTTCTTCTATTTCACTCTTCCTCCCTCATTCCTTCTTTATTCCTCCTCTCTCTC